TAAGGCCCTATTAAGTATTTTATTTTATCAATTTTATTTTATCAGAAATTCTATGTTGTCTGTTTATTTTATTCTGGATTTATGATTTAATACAAATTTATTATCAACAATGGTGGTAATTAAATGAAGCCATAAAACATCAATTTAATCTCAATTGAATTCATCTTTTAAAATGCAATCAAATTAATATGAACAATTCCTTTTAAATTTCAATTGTAAATAAAATAAAATTAAATTAAAAAATGAATGTATTTATTTATTTAAAAAAGTAAGACTTTGAGAAGTACATTCTAATCTAAAATAATATATTTCTGTCACAATTTCTTCAGGTTAAACCAAACTTTTATTTTGGCAGGTTGTAGTGAAGACCTTTGAGTTTGTGTGTGTATTTGACTCTAGTTTTCTCAAATGAAATGGTGAAATGCTGGTGAAGTGACTCTGAGATGAAGTTCATGTCCTCATACAGTGAGACGCAGACGAGCGTCACGCGTGTTTGAGTTTGTGCAGACGAAACTTCACCGCTCTTTCACACAGAGACCCGCAAAACATGCAGACTTCACATTAGACAGTCTATTTGCGCTTCAGTATCATCGTGATTTTTCATGATTTGCGGTATCATTCGTGTCCGTAGATGAATGCAGCTTCTGTTTAAGGTGATAATGAGCTGCGCTGATCATTCGCTGGCTGTATTCTCACATGAAGATCTGCAGCGAGTCTTGTGGTTGAGCTGATGCTGTGAAAGATCACATTTCAGCGTAAAGCAACTTCCTGCAGAAGCTTTCTAGGAAGAGCGTCAAGTCTGAGATCTCCACTGCGATTCTCTTTCCTCTGGAAGTCCATGCTTTTAAGGCTGGAACAAGTGCAAATGGAAAGGAAATAAACAACTCCCTTCTCCTTTGGTGCCTGTGTAGAATGCAGATCTAGAAGAAATCTCCTAAAATAAGAACTGAAGGAGTTCATGGCCTTCAGCAGCAGTAGTCTTGCCTAATCCAGCTGGATTTCTCTCAGTTAACAAACGCTTCTCTTGTAGTGTTGGGAGGAGGCTTTCGTCCGTGTGGTCTTGAGAAATCTTCAGCCAAGCAGCGTTTGACC